ACAAAATGACCTCATAAATATTCACACTGCACTTAAAGGGTTAGTTCACCCAAAAGTGAACATTCTGTCATTAATTACATCCTAAGCCCTTTGTTCATCTTCAGAACACAAATTAAGATATTTTAGATGAAATCTTGCAGGGGGGGCTTGCACATTATATTTATAATATATATATATATATATATATATATATATATATATATAATAATCTAAATAAACCACTGTTATACAATGACTTGCCTAATTACCCTAACCTGCCTAGTTAAACTAATTAACCTAGTTAAGCCTTTAAATGTCACTTTAAGTGTCTTGAAGAATAATATCTCAGTATTATTTACTGTCATCACAGCAAAGATAAAATAATTTAAAATAATAAGTTATTAGAAATTAGTTATTAAAACTATTATGATTAGAAATGTGTTGAAAAAATCCCGCTGTTAAACAGAAATTGGGGAAAAAATAAACAGGGGGGCTGATAATTTTGACCTCAACTGTATGTATGTAATGGATGGATGGATGGATGGATGGATGGATGGATGGATGGATGGATGGATGGATGGATGGATGGATGGATGGATGGATGGATGGATGGATAGATAGATAGATAGATAGATAGATAGATAGATAGATAGATAGATAGATAGATAGATAGATAGATAGATAGATAGATAGATAGATAGATAGATAGATAGATAGATAGATAGATAGATAGATAGAAAGTAATGAATTTCAATGTAAAGGTAGAAGTTACCTCAGACAGAGTGTAATTCCGGATACACCGCGTCTTGTTTAGTAACACCGTCGTTCATATTTGTATTATTCTTGGTGTAAGTTGGATTTAGTTTTTCTAATATGTTATGATCTAACGTTAGTTGTGAACTTCTCCGGGAAAGCAAAACATGTAGCTCGAGGTATCAAACTTTTCCCCCAATCAGCTTGCAGAAACTCTCTCCTCTACTGGAGGTTCAGAAACTTTTCACCAATCAGAGCGCAGAACCGCATTCCTTGCAGGCCAAGCGGCCAATCACAGGGCAGAGTCGCTCTCCTGTACAGACAGTGACATGGATGATCAGCCTGGACTGAGATTTACAAACACCGCGAGCGAAAAGTTTCACAGCGGCTCATAACTGTCTGTATCAGCGCATTTAATCTGTTTTATATTGGGGAACGCTGTTCTTTTTCTGAAGTGATGAGGATGTTGGGTATGTACGTGCCGGACAGATTCGTGCTGAAGTCATCTCAAGTCCAGGACGGGATGGGACTGTACACTACCAGAACAGTCAAGAAGGTTCGTGCCTATAAAACACTCTCTCCGCATTAAACGTTGACTCTGCACTAACTGCAGGAGAAATGCTTGTTTTGACATTGTTTCCACTTTGCTCAAAGTGTATGGAGTTTATAGGTCTGGTTGTAGCTGCATTCCTCCGTGTGCTTACGTGTGCTGCCACGTCCCTTACAAACAATCTCCATGGTAACCGTCGTTTCCGCCAGAAATTCACTCATGCCCGCCCCCCTTCCGCCGTGGAGCTACTATAGTTTTGGTTTTTATTACAGTACAGTAGTGATTATTTCATGATAGCTAGCTAAAATGAAGTGAAACACAGTTAAGAAAGGTTTACACTGTTTTAAAGTCATTGAGTATTAGCCCATTGTCTCAAGCACTGGCCCTACCCAAGAAACAGAATTGACTGTTTTGCAACTTTTTAGCCAAAAAGTCCACTTGCTAGCTAATTGACTAATGATTAGTCAGAATAACTGACTAATGTTTAATCAATGAGATATTCTGTTTTCCTTTTTGAAATTGTGGTAACAGTATCGACAGTTTTGATAATAATAGGGTATATGCTGAGCTAGTGTTTCTTCCAATAATGATACACTTGCGGTGAACAGTTAATGTGATTTTATTCTCAATTTCATAAGGTTTCTCTGACAGCATCGATGTTATAATGTAATTAAAGTATAATCAGTTAAACAGACTTCAGCATTTATTTAGCTGTTTGAGCGTAAAACAAGATGAAAAGCCATTTACACGCATGCGCCATCAGAATCAGCAGGTGAGCACAGAAACTCTATTCAAAATACAGTACTGGGGTAAAATACATTTTCAGTATTTAAAAACATTGTGCAGAAAATTAGAATTTAATGCAGTTCTTCTTGTATAGTCTGAGACCCACTTTATATATATATATATATATATATATATATATATATATATATATATATATATATATATATATAT